CTGCAGGGGGTGGGAGGGGGACCTAGGCGTGATGCCTGGTATGCCTGAGTGTTGAGTGTCGGGTGATTGACATCGTGTTGTCAATGCAGGGCCCGCTGTTCAGCTTGAGTTTTGATACGCTGCTGCTGCTTTATCAATCATCTTTATCCTGGATCATCCAAAACCCCTCGTCGTCGTCGTCGTCCTCCCCCCCCCCCCCGTCAGCTGGCGCAACCTGGCATACCCGAGCCTGCGCCCTCTGGGCAGCTGGCTGTCCAACCTGCTGGCGCGCGTGGCGCAGCTGACGGAGTGGACGGCGGACCTGGGCGTCCCCAAGGCCGTGTGGCTGTCGGGGCTGTTCAACCCGCAGTCCTTCCTGACGGCCGTGATGCAGACCACCGCGCGCCGCAACGACTGGCCCCTGGACAAGACGGTGCTGCTGACAGAGGTCACCAAGAAGACGCCAGAGCAGGTGGACGCGCCCAGCCGCGACGGCGCCTTTGTGCACGGCCTCACGCTGGAGGGGGCGCGGTGGGACGACAAGGGCGGCTGCCTGGAGGACTCCAAGCCCAAGGAGCTGTTCTACTCGATGCCGGTGCTGCTGGTGCGCGCGGTGACGGCCGACAAGGCGGACGTGCGCGACGCGTACCAGTGCCCCGTGTACAGCACGGAGGCGCGCTTCAGGGAGGAGGTGTTCACGGCGCAGCTCAAGAGCAAGCACGGGTGGATCAAGTGGACCCTGGCGGGGGTGTGCATGTTCCTGGACGTCGTGTGACGGCCGCCCTTTGTGCCGCTAGGGGTAGCCTGCGGCTGTAATACACTGGGCTCCTGCTGCGGTTCAGTTCTCAAAATGCTCAACGGCACGGCAAGGGGAGCAGTTTAGCGTGGTGCGAGGCCGCCGCCCTGTTGCGGGACATTCCGTCGGCAGCCCCAGCCAGAGCCCAAAAAGTTACAGGGTGCACGCCTTGCAAGCCTGCTCAAACGCCTGCACTGTTTCCAGCTTGACACATATTATTGGCAGTGAAGTGTGATTGTTTGGTTTTGACACGAGCCCTAGTCTTGTCCGTTGGACACAAAGCTCAAGTCAAGAGTTGGAGCAGCACAACAGAACGCCGTGAGTGATATGGCCAAAGCACGTGCTGCACGTTTGTGACAAGACGCTGCTGCAACCCGCTCCCTGGACCAACGCGCTCTTGTGGGAATGGACACGCCAACCGGCGAGCCGTTCGCCACCTCAGATGCAAACCGTTTCCAACAGACGCGTCGCCCAGTGCAAAAAAAAAGCATCATGCCGTGCTCAAAATACTGCAACAAATCCATTCCACCAGTCTTATGTGCGAGCGGAGCCCTGAGTGCCTTGTGCTGTGGCCACCAAAGTGGGTTTGCCTCAACTACCACCTGTCCAGCACTCCCCTGCCGACCTTCTTGGCTCCAGCCAGCAGGCCTCCCTTCCCGCTGTCGCTGGGACCGCCCGCCACGGGAGATTGAGTCGGCACAGTCGCGGCGGAAATGCGCACCCCGTCCGCTGTCCTACGAGGCGCACGAGGCGTGTGCGCCTCCATCTTGCTGCCGCCTGAGCAGCTGCTGCTGGCAAGCGGCGCAGACGTGCGGGCCAGGCAGCCAGCCGCGGATGCTCTGGGAGCTGCTGCTGCGCTGGCAGGGGCTGTGTCTGAGTGGTGCTGCTCTGCAGCGCCGCCAGTGCCTTCGGAAGCCAGGCTGCCTTGGGTTGAGCGCCTGCTGGGGCTGCTGCCACGCTGCTGCTGGTGGTGGTGCTGCTGCTGACCCGAGCCGTGAGCCACTAGAGCCGTCCTGGACCCGCCAGACCTGAGACCAGCCGCCCCCGGGTCAGCCGCCCTGCCGGCACCGGATGGCGGCCGGCCCGCGGCGCCCTTGGGCCCACTCGCCCCGCCACCGCTGCTGCTGCTGCTGCCGCCTGCCCCTGCGTCGCTCCACCTGTCAAAGATGGCAGCGGGGATGGCGGCCAGTGGGCGGAAGCCCTCGCCAGGCGACGCCGGCTCCGGCGGCAGCGCCAGGCGCTGGGTGGCGGCTCGCAGTCGTGTGAGCTCCTTATCTGCAGTGGAGTGCGGGGGGCGGTGCGGGGTGTGGGCCTAGGTGGCTGCGGGGTGGGGCCAGGGCCACCACTCATCGTCGGTGAGCAGCCTTCCAAGGACTCAGTGCTGTTCATCAGCCTGGGCAGCTGTTGCAAGCAGACACACGCCAATGCAGCCCGCCTTGCGGCGCACCTGCTAGATTGCCGGCGGACGTCGTCCCTCTGTCCCCTTGTTCCTCCCCATCAGCCCGCCCTAGCCATTGACTGACAGCAGCGCAACCGCCACCATTGCCACCACCACCGACGCCGCCACTGCTGCTGGGCAGGGTGGCGCCAGCTGCTGGCTCCCGTTCGCCTGAGCCTGAAGAGGCCGACACTCGGACCATCAGCTGCGCCCCACCAGCCGCCCCACCAAAGCCGTCGCCATTCTGAGCCGGCGTGATTCCCTGTGCGCGGGGTAGCTCAACGACTGCCCCACGCGCCTGCGCCATCGCCATCTTGCCGCTCCCGCCGCTGCCGCCACCACAGCTTGCACTGCCCCGGCCGGCCTGCAGCCTCACCGCCGCTGCCTGCCGCACAGGTGATCGCGCCGCCCCCCTGGCCGCGGGGAGCGTGCCGCCGCCAGCCGCCTCGCCGCTGCTGCACTGCCGCCCCCGCGCGCCGCCGACCACAACAAAGTCTGGGGTTGCCGCGCCTGCACCCGCAGCAGTGGCACTAGGTGACGGCAGCGAGGGCTCGCCAAAGCGCACCTTGCGCGCCAGCACCGCGCGGCCCCGGGCGATCCGGGATGACCGGGAGGGCATCAGCCGCCTGCGGCCTGTTGCAGCGAGCATGCGCACGGTGCGCTTTCAAAGGCAGGCCCGGCGAGTGGAATCGGTGTTGTAGCGTTGGATGGCGAAACGACTCATGCACTTGCAGATGTCTACTGCTGGCCACATGCGGCCATCTTGCCTGCCCGTATCCTGGCTAAGGCCCCCAGGCGGACCGGTGCCAGCGCTGCAGTGCTGATTGGCCACTCACCCCCGCCGTCGCCAGCCCCATCACCGCCGCCGCCCTCGCCGCGCTCTCCGCCTTGAGGTGACGCGGGCGCGACCAGCTGCCTGTAGATGTAGCCTTCGTCCTGGAGAGCGATCTCGCTCACACGTCGCGCAGCACTGCCGGCCTGTTTGCCTGCCGCGGCGGCGACCCCGGCTGCCGCACGCGAGGCGGCGTCGTCCAGGATGGCGTTGAAGCCCTTGGGCTGTGGCGCCCCAGGGTCCCAGCGCTTGTCCTTCTTGTACAGCAGTGTGCTGACGGCACGGGTCGCGCCGTCGCGGCTCATGATGACTGTGGCTGGCGTGTGCAGCAACTCGCCCGCTCAGCACTCGCGCCGCGCCACAGGCCCACGGGGGTCAGCAGCCAGCAGCCACGCCAAAGCCCTTCAGTTCTTTTCCGAATTGTTGAATGCACACCGAAAAGGTCACGGCGCTCAAGAGGGCGTGCAATTATTATTAGAGTCTGCATACGTAGTGGTCAATGGCCGAGATGGAATTTTATCCAGGTTGAATTCCAGGTAAAAATTGGGTTTTGGACATCCGACATGCCCTACAGCTGCCCTACACTACGTGGGACCACGCGAGCAGTGGGGCACTGGAGGAACCACTCCGCGCACTCCAACAGTGGCTTGAACTGTAATGAACCTGTAGGCTTGGACACAATATACACAATACATAACGCGGGGGCGTGGAGACATGGCATCAAAATCCGTCCTTGGGCACTGTGTGTGCCACCACCCAGCTGCTTGAGCTGCCCGAAGCGACCTTGCGATCACCATCATCACGTGCCCAGAATCACCATCACCAACTCCTGTCAGCGCTGTCGCTGTTTATGATATTGTGCTGGCGGTATCTCAAGTGCGCACACAAGGACAGGGTGCTCGCTTTTCAGTGCTCCTAATGGTGCAGCCTCAGAGCTCCACCGTGAAGCAGACGTGCTGATGCAGAGGCGCATGGCGCAGCCCCACCTGCATGAGAAAGCTGTTACATATTGAAAGTAAATCAGGGGCTAGGGGAACCTCCACAAAGGGCAGAGGCTCAGAGAGGGGCAGCCCAGAAAATGGCTAAATGAAACAATAGGGGTCAGGGTTATCAACGGTCGTCATGGACGTTCGTCCAAGCCGCTCTTGTCATGTGGCCGGCGAGGCAATCGCTTGCCGGACTTGCGCTGCGGCGGCCGCCCCTCACCCTTGCCTTCTGGCTTTGCAGCGCGTGCCCCAAGCGCGGCACCGACACCACCCTGCTGCGCCAGAACGGGCCAGGGGGGAGAGTCCGTGATGCCGCCGCTGGCTTCGTCCCGCACCAGGCGCGGTCCCAGGAGGGCCGCCACCGCCGCACCGCCCACCATGCCGCCAAGGTGGCCCCTGCACCAGCATCAGGGCAAAGTTTTGGGGGCTGAGCCCTTTGCAGGGGTGCACGCGGCGACGCAGTCCGGATCTGCAAAGCACCACTCGGCCAGTAATGCTACACAAGCGCGCCGCTCTTGCGCATACACCTGTGCGGTCCGCAGTTCCCTGACGCCGCGCACCAGTTGTCTACGCGCCGGTTTGCGAGGCTGTAGGCCAGGTTGACGACCAGGGTGACCCCCAGCTGCCGCAGCACGTAGTCGCTGCGCTCCCCCAGCAGCCCCTTGTGGCGCCAGTAAAACACACCCAGGGCCGCACCCACGCCAAACAGTGCAGCTGAAAAACCATATTTGGTGGGGGGGAGGCGTCAGGGGGGTACAGATGACGGCGGGACAAAATTTCAACGTTATCTGCTGGTCCCTGTCGCTGTCAATGCTGCCAGCCACTCCCCATGCAAGCTTTGATACTTGCAGCAACAGCTGAGGACCGCCCTGGCCGTCCGGGCCCCCAAACCATGCCTCGGCCGGCACACCAGCGCTGCGCGCGTCGCGGGGCGCGGCCTCACCTGACGCGCCCACCGAGGGCGCGGGTGTCAGCAGGAACGACGCCGTGGTGCCGGCCAGCGCCCCCGCCACATAGACCGCAGCGAACCGCGGCCGCCCGCTGACCAGCTCCAGGTGCGGCCCGATGGTGTGCAGCGCGTGGCTGTTGATCTGCGGGCGGCGCGGAGGGCGCGGAGGCGCTGGGCGTTCAAGGATGTTCAGGGAGGGGGGCAGGCGAGGCTGCTTCAACACGCGGCCTGCACCCAAATCGCTGCTGGCTGCCACAGCACCACAGATGCTGACCGAAAGTTGTTGGTTCTGTGCAGCATTCTGCCCGTCCCAGCATACTCAGCAGCCTTGCGCGCACCAGGAGGTGGAAGAGCGAGGTGTGCAGCAGCGATGACGTCAGCAGCCGCCACACCTGCCCTGCTGCAACCAGCGCGTTGACCTTAGCGCCCCACAGCGTCAGCGCATCGCGTGTCAACCACTGCGCAGCGAACATGACCGCGTTGGCCACCAGCAGCGTATCCGTGCAGCGCCGCAAGGGGGAGCCAAAGTCCAGCGCGCCGCGCTGCCGCTGCGGCCTGAGCAAGCCCAGTGGGTCAGGAGGAGTTGCGAGGACTCCCAGCATGAGGGGCGTTCCCAGGGCGCTCGTCGATTCCACGCCGCCGGCAGTTAAGCAACACACATCCTCTGTACCCAACCACACGCTGCACATACGGTACGTGCATGCACCAGGTTGTGCGGCATTGCCAGTGCGGCGTGCAGCGATGCTGCTTCGCACCATCACCCTCACCGAGGCGGTTGCCCGTCATTTGGCGACGCTGACGATAAGTGGGCCGATGCCAGCACACTGCTGGCTGCCAGCCCGCCGCAGGAGCCAAGCAGCAGCCCCCGTCCTTGGCCGGCGCGAAGGCGGCGGCAAGCTCGTGCATGCGCACCAGAAGCGACGCGCCACCACAAATGGCCTGAAGAGCCGCCGCCGCCGGCTAGCAGTGACCGCTCCGATGATTGCATGATACGCAAGCTTGTTCAATTAGCAGCGCATCCTCAGCTGAGCCGGCCTAACTATGATGATCGATGCAACTGGGACAGACTACCGTAGAGGATCGTGCACAACCTTCATACATGCATTTTAAATACAAGAATTTTTAACAAGGACCACCATAGGTTTATTGGTCGGGGCCAGAGATGACGCAAACCGGGTGACTGTTGTTGAACCGGTGTCTTGCTGGTGTGTGCAGCAGCCAGCACACAAAGCGCGAGCCTTGCCCCGTGATCCTTACCTTTTGAAGCGAGCACAGGAACGTTTTTCGTCCTGCTGTCCCGAGTTCTCTCGAGCTGCATCGCGACACTCTGCACACACTATGGCCTCGACTCTGGCCGCCGCGGGGGCTCGCTCCGTTGTCGTGCGCGCTGCGCGTGACTCGATGCGTGTGGCCGTTCCGGCACCCGTCTGCGCGGTCAGGGCTCAGCCCAGGGGGATGGCTGCTCGCCAGCAGTCTGCTGAGGGCCGCAGGGGCCTCGCCGTGACACGGTGAGCGTTCGATTTTACTTTGTAGATCGCGTCCCTTGCTACCCTGGGCAATGTGCAGCGCGCGCTGCCTTGCCGCCAGCGCCGCTCAGTGAACATTTCGCTGCGCCTTGGGCCATCTGGCCGCATTTGGCATCCTAGGATGCACCCCCAGAGGCGCTGTAGCACGCAGGCACACACGCGTTGCAGCGCGTCGCTCCACCAAACTGCGTTCCATGCCTCCCTCTGTGCCTCGCTCGCCTGCCTGCGCTCCTTTGCGGGCGCGCCCGTGCGCGCGTCTGCCGATTCGCCCTCTCCCAAACCCCCTGAACCTCGGCCCCCCCTGTCACCAGGCTGGCGTCGGTGGCCGAGGCCAAGCCCGCGGCCCTGACGGCGGAGGGCCTGCAGGCCCCCCACGGCGGCAAGCTGGTCAACCTGCTGGTGCCGGCGGAGGAGCAGGCCGCCCTGGTGGCGTCCACCACCACCACCCTGGAGCTCAGCGACCGCAACGCCTGCGACGTGGAGCTGCTCACGGTCGGGTGCGCAGCACCACACAGGGCACAGGGCCGCGGCCGGGCTGCACGGGCCTGCGCAGCGCAGCGCCTGGTGACCCGAGGGGGTCGGGGGATATTTCGCAGCGGCTGCTGGCGCGTGTGGGGCGCCATGTGTGTCAACATAGGGGCAACTGGGCAGGCAAGCCCCATGGGACCGTGACCCGCGAACGAGGGCGGCTTCGCAGCCAGCCAAGCCTGCCCGGAGCAGTCAAGGCCATACTCACCCCGGTGGCCATGCTGCTGGCGCCAGCTTGCAGTGACGCCATACGCCATCTGCCGCCGTGTTGGTCGACACAGCTGGCGCATGCGCCTGGACGCCTGCTTTTCAACAGCAGTGCTGCAGCGTCCTACCTAGATGGACCGCCCCGACCCCGCTCCAACACGGCCCCGTTTAAGACACTTTGCTGCCCCCCTCTCCCCCCTCCTCTCTTGGTGAACCCCAGTGCCTTCTCCCCCCTGGAGCACTTCATGTCCCAGGAGGAGTACGACAGCGTGGTGCGGGACATGCGCCTGCCCAACGGCCTGCTGTTTGGCCTGCCCATCGTGCTGGACACTGACCGCGAGGACCTGAAGCTGGGGGACAAGGTGCGTTTGGGAGGGGGGGTGCTGCAGGAGGGTCCGTGGCAGGGAGTTGGGACCGGAGGGCGACGAGGCCAGTGTTGGGGTGGGGCCGGCTGGGATGCGCGTCACTGATCGTTGCCGCAGCAGCCCGCGCGGTATGGCAGGTGCCGCATAATCGTGCCTTGGTTTTGAGCCTTGCCCATCAGCTTTTCCGCAGGCATGCCCCCTCTGCCCTCTCCCGCACCTCCTGAACACGTGCAAACACTCCCCCCC